TATCATTCAACTTCAATAAGTTTAAGGTCATCCACTTCCTAACGTCATCAAAACATGACAATAGTGATGCAACTGATGATGCGTCCCTTCCCCTCAGTGGCAAATACATCTGTACATCATCCGCATAATGCTTCCTGAAAATAGAGCCAAGAGGAAGTAATTGGTTTAGTGGTCTGAAATTTTCTTTTTACATTCTTAAGTTGAATTAACATGAAATGACCAAAACTCATGTTTTCCAGTGTACACCAAACGTCTTTAGTGAGAATGCAATTTTGAGGTCTGAACTTCTGACAGATCTTAAATTTATGTGTACAGTACTTTATTAACTGAAGAGATAGGACTCTGTGCTCAGCTCTGTTAGGTTTTCTCCACTTAACATGATCATTGTATATTTCAGCTGAGTAGTGCAAACCACTAATGTGATTTAGTAATGAGATGGCTTTCAAAACACAAAAGAATAATTAATGATCACTCAAAGGTTTAATTAAAACCAAATTCTGGGATTACAGTGTGCCAGCTTCTCCTTCAGAGAAACATTAGCACAAGAGTTTACTGGTCAGTTTTAGCACCGAACTGTTGAGCTTCTCCATTGTATCTACTAGGTCCGTATCTCTTAGTGACGACTGGTTCAAATCTAAGATTCTTAATTATTATGTACATATGCGGTGCTATTAAAAGGCGGGAGGGAGGAGGCTAAACCTCCCCAAAATGAATCGGCCTAAGGAAATATTCTTTGGAAACTTTTTATGATTTGCGTTTTGTTTGTTTATTTTGTTATTTTGGTGAGAGAGGGAGACAGAAGCCTTTAGTTCACGAGTGAAAGCAGCAATCCGATCGTTTCCAGGCCTTGACATTTGCTTTGCTTATCTGTGTATTTTAGTGCCAAGCACAGCGCGCAGGGTGCACCGAGGGTGACGAGGTTGTGGGTGTTGCTGAGCTGAAGAAGAACAATACGTGTCTCAGACCCGCGTCTTTCTGAAGCAACTTAACTCTGCTGGCACTGAATTTATTAACAAGCCACGCTTTTCCGCAGAAATTACGGAATAATCTTTATAATGCACATCAACATTTAATCAAACGCTCTCCGACCAATCCATGTTTATACCTGAATAAAAACAACGTTTACTGTAGTTAGTGGGAAAGATGGTGTCCCTGCAAAGCTCCTCTGATCTATGGATTAATAAGACTGATCCATGCAGTATCTGTACTGTACAGTACTGCCCTCTATACTGCATGAAAAGCTTCTTCTGTCCATTAAAGCCCTGTAGTCATCTAAAGGCAGCAGAACATACAGTATGTGATGTCTACAACCTCCGATTTGAGAAGTGCCGCACCAGAGCGCACTGCCATTACGCACGGCTGTCCACGTTTCCCTTCATTAAATCACGTATAAATAACTCCAGGTTGATATACAATAACCAAACACCAGTCTGGCCAGTGGGAACTTGGCGTGATGCCTGATAAGTGGGAAACGTCAGAATACAGAAGATCATTAATACCTGCGTTTCAACTTTCTTTGTTTACACTTCATGCTGTGATCTGCAGTGACGTGCGGTGAGGTTGACAGCTGGTGAGGCACTAACTCTTTTACAGTCAGATTTACAAATACAAATTGTCTGTTAACAGACAATGCGTTATGTTTTATATCTCATATCAGCATTCTTCACACAAACGTGACCCATATTTAATTTGAGGTTAAAATTTATTCCAATTGAGCTTATTTCTAACTAGAAATAATAAAAGTTTATGGTCTTACCTTTACTTGTACACAAAATCCATTTGTCAGCTGGTATGTATTACAAACTCTCAACTGATGCTTCCAAACAGGTAGACTGTGGAGGGCCCAACACAGACCCAATTGTTTTAAACAGAACACGCGGGTTGTGACTGTTAGATACAATAATATTTGACAAATATCCTCGTTTAGCTTCTTCAACAGTCTTCTGGTAGTTACGCAAACAGTCCTTTAAGATTTGGAATGACACCTGTAATCCATCCTTCTTCCACCGACGCAAAGTCTAATACCAAAACAGTATTTTGGTATCGTGTATATAACACACACACAGCCATACAAAGACTCAAGCTGGCAAAAGAGTTATTCCAATAAGGAAATATCCAATCAAAAACTAAGCCAAACAAAATTATAAATCTGAGCAAACATTTGTAATATTTATACACCACAGATATTTTTGTTGGTACCAATAAAGCATCGTGTTTGATAAGCACCCTCCTCAATCATGATCAACATGTGTCTCTCTCAGCTAGAGAGCAACATTTTTATCTACTGCTGCTGTCAAAGACTACATTTTAAGATTTGACATAGTGGTACCTCAAAGACTGTCTTGGCGGCATAGCCTTGCACATCATCTCGGTTGATGACAATCTGAATGACACGATACCACACCTCTTCACTGACATAGTCGCCAGCAATGCGGATCAGGTTCAGAATGGTGTCCACGTACCAGGAGTAATCAATGGCATACTTCTCTGCAAGTATGGCCACTTTCAGCACCTAAATCAGGAACACACATGAAATCACAGCACAATGACTTGGTGTGCAGTTTTGGAAAATTGTGTGAAGTAAATCAGATTTGATTTATTTTGGATTGTTTTTTGATGCTGAAGAACACAATAAGGAGACAGTGCAAACAAACCATCTTCAACAATTCTCACAACACCAGTCACATGGAGTTAAAAGAAAACATGTTGCAAAATCTTTCTTGGCACACCTACCATCTCCTCTCTGATGGAGTAGTCTGCCGTCTCAAGGTAGCTTAGCATCTCAGCTACAATCTGCTTGGCATTGCTGCGATCACACATGGCATATAGAAGATCAGCTGCCCTCTGTCGAACACTCACATCCCTCTCAGTCTGCAGAGACACACAGAGACAAACACTGGCAAAATGGAAGAGAGAAGAGACAGTCCTAGTGACAGGTGACAACTGTGGGTAGAGGGTCCTGTGCTACTGACCAGTGTGTCATACATCCTTCAGTAATTCAATCAAAACATTACTCAGATGTCATGTCTGTTGAGAGACTGTCTTTAGTTCAAAGGGTGAGGCATCACCTTGAGGGCATTGATGACAGTCTCAATGTGCGTCTTGACAGCTTCATGGGAAAACTCAGAACTGGCCAGAGTACACATGCTCTCCAGAGCCAGGTAGCGCAGGTTAGTCTCTCTGTGCTGCAGGAACTGGCCCAGCTGGTTACAGGCACGCACAAGCAGGTTTGGCTCACTGCGGAACAGAAATCAAAACTTACTTCACTGCTGGCCTGGTAAAACATTTCAAATATCAAAATGTGAAAAAGCATACCAGGAGGCCACAGCTAGGATTAAATAAGACAAAAAAAGAAAACTGAATATAATGAAGAATACAAATCACTAAGTAGCATGATGTCCATGTTTGGCATAGCAAATTAACGATATCCTGGAATAACATTTCTGAACATGTTATGAACATAACTCAGTAAAACCATCTTTTTAAATTAAACTGCTTTGAGAGAAATTTTATTCAATGTCTTCTTTAAATAATAAAACCATCAGTTATTTCATAGCAGATACTCTAAAAATGTTACACTGTTGAGTTGTCACTTTAATCACTGTCACTGTTCATTGTCTGTCAGCTGCCTTTGTGTATATTTTGCTGTACTGTGAAAGTCATGTTGCTGTCCAAAATGCTCACCTGTCATAGTGGATGATAAGTGAGATAGCCTCAAACAAGATTGCATTCTTGGCATTGGAGTGCTGCACCTTCTTGGACTTGGGTGGCTCCTGGGCCTTATTGAGGATGGTCTCCAAACACTCTACTAGACGTCCTTTGACAGCACCATCTTCTGGTGGTGGGTAGCACTGCAGCAGGCGCAGCAGCTTACAGGAGAGCCATGGCGCTGGCACAAAGTAGTAGGTATAATCCTGCAGGTCAGTGGAGGCTGACGATACAATCTGAAGAACCAAGAGAATTCTTTAGTTTTATTATGGTCAGTCAAAACTTAACCCATTAAAGACACTAAATTCTCAGGAAAATGCTACCTAATATATAAAGGAAGCCCAGAAATGCACAGTATCTACAGTGTTGGAACCATAGCATTGAAACCAGGCTTCAAATGTTTTGCAGACTTGGCTGTAACATTGTTTCAAAAGGTGTTTTTTGTTTTCTGCCCTGTACTGATGTGCAGAGACATCCCTCTCTTGGTAATGGGCTTAGCAATGGTCTACACATCTATCTGGAAACCCTATCTTTGTAAGCCATTTTGTCAGTAATGTGTCAAAGTGTGTTCCCTCGTTGAGCTGTTTCTGCTTAGTAACTTACCGTAGCAATGTGAATCTAACCTTATCGTAGCCCTGACCACTGATGGGGCGGTAAGGGAAACAGTGTTTTCTTGCATTTCCCTCCTTATGAACAACTACTTTTGGTAGCCAATAAAAGCTTTGCCGGTGTAATTGAGTTGATGACTTGTAAATAACACAAACTACTGGCATTTTGAGAGCTTGTAATAGTACTACCTATGTAGAAAACTACTTCCTGTCCTCAATCTGCAGTTCACTCTACAGCAACACAGTGGCATGACGTCATATGCAAACCACCTATTGACTGTTCATGACACACACACACGCACACACACTCACTCTGCTGAGTCGAGAAACAGCCAGGGAAACGCAGGTCTTGAACTCATCTGGATTTTTCTGGCTCAGACAGGTGATGAGCGAGATTGCTGCTGTCACCACACCCTAAACACCAGACACACAAAAAAGAAGAATGAATAATCTCACTGGTGAGATACTGAAGTATTACATGGGACTTTCACTTACATGTACCCTGACCATCTTTTAGCATCTGAAATTTATTTCTATGTCTGACAATTTCTTCCTTCATTATATAACGTTCGAGTGCATATTTTATGCCTGTATATCATTAGTGAAGTAGTTTAGATCATTTTATATCAGCATAGGAAAGTAACATTGAGAGTTGTCAAGGGAGCCCATCAGAGGCTATATTTCTTGAGCAAGCTCAAGAAATTTGGCACCTTGAAGAACACTATGGTGTAGTTTTACACAGCTGTCATCCAAAATGTGCTCAAGTACTACTTGGGGTAGCAGTACAACCTCTGGAAAAACACAGGTCTTAGAGAGAGTGGTCAAGACTGCAACAAAAATCATAGGCCAATCTCTCCCTCCATCTCTTCTATTTAATAATCTCATTTTAAGCAAAAGGCAGTGAATATTATCAGTGATGTCACTCACTCAGCTGCCTCAGTATTTCAGAGATTGCTCTCAGGGAGAAGGTTCAGGGAGCTCAGTTTTAAAACAGAATGATTAGGAAGAACACATACCCAAAGACTACTTGGTTGCTAAACGGCAAGCCTTTGGCACTTAAAGGTTTTAGTCCTTTAACTTTAAGATGGTCTTATGAAATGTTCTTTGCACCTGGTTTTCAGTTTTTAAATTACATTTGTTGGTATTTAAATTGTGCTTGTGACCGAGTAATTGTGTTGTTTTTTTATGTGTGAATGCATACACCAAGACAACTTCCTCACATATTTTTCCATCCATCCCTCCACTTTATTCCACTAATACAAAATCAGATCACAGTGCCAACAGGTTCACCAAGGTAATCCAGACATCCTTCTCCCTGGCAAAGTTTTCCAGCTCCTCTGGCAGGATTCCGAGGCGTTCCCAGGCCAGATGAGATATATAATCTCTCCAGCGTGTTCTGGGTCTACCCTGGTGTCTCCTACCAGTTGGACATGCCTGGAAAACCTCCAAAGGGAGGCGCCCTGGAGGCATCCTGATAAGATGCCTGAACCACCTCAACTGGCTCCTTTCAATGTGAAAGAGTGATGGTTCTACTTCGAGCCCCTTCTGGATGTCCGAACTCCACATCCCATCTAAAAGGCCAATTCCAGCCACCCTTCGAAAGGAAAATAATTTCGGCCACTAGTATTTGCGATCATATTGTTTGAAATCACTACCCACAGCTCGTGACCATCAGTTAGGGCTGGAGCATAGACTGACCTGTAAATTGAGAGATTGCCTCTCAGCTCAGTTCCTTCTTCACCACAGTGGTCTGCATTACTACTTATGATGCGCCTATCCACCTGTCGATCTTGCTCAATTTTACCTTCACTCGTGAACAAGACTCCAAGATACTTAAACTCCATCACTTGCATATTTTTATGCATGGTAAATAAAGTTGAATTGAATAGCTCGACACTGAGAAAATATTGTTTCATACATATATTTTGTATAAATGCAATACAGTATTTTTCATCACTTCCACTGAGTGCCAGTCTACATCTGTTAAAGTCGGGTCTACACAGAATTTAGACAGGTATGTTTACCCCTTAAAAGCCACTAAAAGAGACAAAGAACGCGACTCTGCTCACACTGTTAAACTGTTGCTGCTCTTGCTTTAAGTTCAGTCAGACAGTAAGCATCAGCCCCCAAAAGAGCAACGTTCTAGGATGTCTGCCTGTAGTTTCATCTCAGTAGCAGATAATAATAATGTAACTACTTTCCTGGTGTCTAAGGGTCTGGAATGTACTCTCACCATGTGTTGGTCGTTGAGCAGGTGCACCACGCGGGACGTCCACTCACCCATCAGCACCAAGTCAGGAGAAGTCTTATAGAGCCGCAGCAGACACAGCGCAGCTGATTGTTTCACACTGTCCATTGTATCGCTGTGGTGCATCAGTCACATTAACAGCAGTTAAATAAAGTCAGTGATGTCAAGTAACATGACAGAAAACTGTCTTTGGTGACATGGTTCACAGCAATACATAAAAATAAAATCAGCACAGCTGAAGATAAATTTATTCATCTTCAACACTACAAAGCACAAGTCACACTCACCCAGCAACCAGGATCCGAGGGATCTCACTAGCAAAGGCCTCAGCCATCTCGCGGCTTCCCACATTTGCAATACAGTGAAGCGCCAGGCACATGAAGGTGGGGTTGCGGCTGGACAGGTCATTTTTGATAGCATTGTTGATCAAACGGATCAGCTCACTGTTGCTGTTTACCAGTACTGAGATGAACAGGTAGCCCTGGAGTACCGGACATGAAGAGAGGAAATTTAAAAACAGAAGAGGCATTAAAACATATAGAAGGAAAACAAAGTACTATAATCATAGTGTTGATGATAATACTGTATATATTCAGTGTCCAGTTTATTAGGTTGACCTAGCTCAAACTAATATAGTATAGTATCACACAGTCCTATAACAGTTCTTGTTGAATTCTTCTGACTTACGGTATACTGAAAGGTTTGTACCCTCACTGGGGTAGATTAACTTCACCTGATGCCAGCATACGTCACATCTACCCTTAATCACTGCAGTCATATCATGGGGCCTATGCTGACTGGATCTGCGTGAAGTTTCAGGCTAATTCCGCATTAACCAGTAGGTGGCACAAAAACATTTGAAAAAATAAAATCTAAAAACATGTTTTCACTTTGTGGATTGTGGGTATGGGTTGTTAAATGTAGACTGATGGGCAAAATGGCAATTTAATCCATTTAGAATTACAACTACAGACCAAGTTTTTAGACAAAACCAAGGCTCAGAATTTCACAAACATTATTTATTCAAACCAATTCACTTCAAATTACATAAAAACTGAGAACATAGTATACACTACAGTTCCACTGACATGGCAAGTGGTGCAGTTTCTTTGTGGTGTAATTTGTTCTGAAAAATAACAATGTAGGTCATGTCTGGCTATGTCAGGCAGAAAGCCTGTAACCTACACCTCTAGTTTAGTCTAGTTTAACTAACTTCACTTATTACCAACTATTATTTTAAAAAATAAGTATAAAATTTAATTAGATGTTTTCCTCAAATCAGTCAGTTTAAACTACTGCAGGCCAATAGTGTTTTTGCAGCCATATAATAACAAACCCAAACACAGGGATTCTTTATCATTGAGCTCTGTGGAACATGTAAGTGATAAATAGCAGCTTCTCCTTGACCCTGACATGTGCCAGTGCCCGCCCTACCTACTATCTCATATACTGCATGTCTTAAAACAAAAGAAGCCCATTATTCAGTCAAACATTTTACTGGGTCATTTATATACAGTAATCACAGGGTCAAACCTTCCAAAAACTCTTATCACCAGTACATTTAGTTTATGGTTGCTGTCCTAAAGTCTTATATGCTGTCCACATTCCAAGGCACAGACATAGAAAGATCTTGTCTGAGGCGTAGTTCTATCTTTGGTGGTACAGCAGTCAACTGCCACACCACTTAGATCCTGACTCAACATTATTCTGCTTACTCAACATTTCCTGTTCCTGAGAAAATAGTGGAAGACAAAAAAAGTCAGTTGTTGCTTTAATGTCTAGGCCATTAAACTATGGTTATATCTTTTATATGGCAATCAAAGGGACCATCTATACTTGACTCATATGAAAGGTGTGGACTGCTAGTAAATTTTGTTTGCACCTACAGTTAGAGAACTAACTTTCTTAAAGCTTATTATTTCAAATCAAATGTATTAAAATCAAAAGTGTCAGTGTGGACATGACATTATCCTCTATTCCGCCCCATGTCTAACAGACTGCAAGTCACAAACTAAGAGTTTATTATTACATTGGATACCCCAGCACAGTTGGTCACTGTGTGAACCACAGGATGCTTTTTAAAGCTACTGAAACAGGTTAGACTCTTTTTTAAATAATATTTTGTGTCTGTGGCTGTTATGATTCAAGCAATGCTTCAAAATTTTGTATTTTACACAGACTGAAAACTCGTAGCAAGTAAGTTTGGACCTAAAACCCAGTCTGTCTACTGGTTGATACAGAACAAGATACTCTGAAGGTTTGCAATTCAGGCCAGTATGTGGGTGATGGTTCATGGGTCACTGATCTCCAGTTCTGTCAACACTGTCAGTCAGAAACCTTGGATCTGATGTGGTTCAACATGGGAGGAGCAGAGTGTTTAATTTGCTGTTCTAACAATGATAGCAACATGATCACATAACATACAACTAGCAATCAATAAGCTTGGTGCTCTAAGTACTAGCCTGTCAAAAACCGGCAATGAATGTATGGTTAGATTCTTCAGCCCCTATCAGAAATCTGTAACATTACTGGCTTCATCTATTTGTTCAAGTACTGCTTTTCAAGCACAGGCCTCTATTAAGCCATAATGATTCTGCACAACCTCCTCTACTGCCAAGCTAAATCAACTCTTCAGCTGAAAGCAATGAGAGCAGCAGGAGGATTTTACAAATGAACTATGACCAGGACACAATTATTTCGCTGACTGTGAGAAAATCTAACGCCATCAACTGATGCTGTACACATACAGCACAACCAGTAGAAGACTTACAATCTGCTTCTCTGTGTACTTGTTGGAGCTCAGCAGGTTGACTGCCTCCATGTGTCCAAAGTCAATGTCATGGCCAAGCAGGAAGATGAAAAGCAGCTTGCAGACATACTTCTTCTTGCTGTAGCCATCCAGAGCCTTGTCTCCTTTGAACTTGGAGCGAATGTTGGCCAGCTCTTTATTGATCCGTTTGATCTCAGCTTCCTTGCTCTTACCTGACAGGGAAAAGGAAAAAGTATAATGACAGCATTTAACATATGGACATTTTGGACCTGGCTAAAAAAAAAACTCAGTATTTTTGAGTTCTTAAAGATGTGCTCTTTGATCATCTTCTAGATACTGCAGGATAAAATCTAGCATATTTTATGAATTCATTTTATTATAGTTACACATCCCAAATTTTCTTCCAATTCAGATAATGTGTGCTAACATAAAAATGTGCCTCCTTTGCCAAAAACAGAGGAAATAAGGTTGAAAAGGGTGAAGAGGAAATCTCTTCTAGCTCAAATGAAGGGCTACCGGTGCCACTAGACTGAAATTTTATTTGCACCTATTCAGTAACATCATACACTCTGAAACAATAACTGCTCTGATCATTGACGTTCTCTGACAGTTTAGTTTCCCCAGCTAAAGCCTCTTAGACAGAGCAAGAGTAATAGCTAGTGCAAAAGCTGGTTTGCTCTGCAACCTGACATAAACTCTGGATCATTAAAGATCACTGAATATACCATGGAAGAATGGTGGTATGTACTGAGTAAAATGAGAATTAGGTAGCTTTCAACAGAATACCATTGCCAGGATTTAAAAAAAAATGGTTCAACTGCAGCAAACCTAAAGCTAAATGGAAAGATGATTTTTACAGCTGGCCTGCTGAATTTTACTTTGTATTATCAGAACAGTGAAATGATCACTTCAGAACAATACTTTGAAAACTAGTGATGTTATTTTCAACAACACAGCTGAGGGCTAGTCATTTAGGTTTTGAGAAGAAAATGTAACTACAAGCTTCGAAAGTGCTGACATTTCTTAGCCCTGACAGGTTTAAGTGATTACTGTGAAAATAAAAAATAAATAAATCTGATAGTGGCCAAATCTCCACTAATAGCCAGTCTCACTCTGAACAAAAGAAATACAGAAAGACAAATATTTCCATATGTTCTAAACAACGCAAACACTAAAGTTAACCATCTCAGCTAAGTTAATGGTATAATAAAGTGTTATTATAAATAATTACCGAGTGCATTGTTTAAAAAAAAAAAGTAATTATTGGGGGCACTATGGTAGGTAGCTACAGTAAAAACTGTTTATAGATAAATAGGAAGATGAAGGGTTTGGTTCCAGAAACAAGTACCATTTTGGATCCGATTCCAAGTATAAATAAAAACTGGATTTGTTGAGAGAAGTCTAATGATTACTTGTAGAATTGTTGAGTTCTTCTCACAGTTTTGTACAATGTTTGGTGTCGTGACAATACAACATTGTCAGTCAAAAGTTTGGACACACCTTCTAATTCAATTCAATGGGCATGTGCATCTGGTAGTGTGTACTGAGACTAGAGGACATTGACAACACTACCCATAAATGCCATCAGCTGACAATTCATAATGGCAATCCATGACCCACCTTATAAGTCCTAATGACTCCATTAAGGCCAAATGAGTTTATGATGCTATGAGACTTGACAAACAGAAGGGTGCCAAACCTCTTATACATGCCACAATTAGCTTACCATTTTAATTTTTCTGATTTTTCGATGCATGAAATAAAATGTAATAGTGCATTAACATTTAAACAAAGGTTCTTTCCTTATGTGTGTTAGGGCAGTCATGATTGGTCAATAAAGTTGATTAGTCTATGTCAACATGTGTTGACATCAGTATTTCTAATTGATGCATCTCTTGTTTTATTTGTATGAACTTTGACTTCTAAAGAGTTTCAATCATTCATTTAAACTAATGTTATTCTTCACTATCACTACTTGCTAGTTTTCAACTGCCAGCAAATCCAAAGAAGAATATTACTATGGAACCGTTGCATGCATACATGCTGTTTTTGACTCCAGTCACTGGTCAGCTTGAGTACATGCTACAGTTTTAAAATTTTATGCTGGCTTCAGCAGAGTTGGCAGATGACTCATTGGCAAAAAAAGTTCAGTATAAAAATTTCCAAAGACCTTAGGCTTCAAAAGTATGGGAAGGTCTACAAATTATCAGAAAACTAAAAGTTGGTCTGTATGCTGTGAAAGTTTCATTTGCATACCACAGCAGCACTAGCACTATGCACAAGCACCTGAAGAGAAAACACACGGGAACTATTCTGAATAATAAACTACTAGAAAAGGCAAAGCTACTGCAACTTTTATCTATTTGTTTATTAAGTTAGCAGGGAGAGCTTTAATACCTTTTTTTCTTGTAGTAACTAAATTCATTAAAACCATAAAGGCCTCTGCCTGCTACAAAAGTGGTTGTTTTGATGTGTGCCAATGCTCAAAACAAAAAAAAGGAGAGAAACATGACATGAATGAATTTTAAAACTTTTATAATACATCCATCTACAAATCTGATGCTTGTCATATTTTTTCCTTTAGTTTGGGAGACTACTGGTGCTTGTCTGGCTACAGACTAATGTGATAAATGTGCACATGGCTTTTTTACCTTTTAGCGGAAGTGACACAGCGACAATGACAAAGTGGCTGTCCATTTGTGTTCAAGATGCATTTTACAACCAAGTCTAAACAGGGCCTAATTGTACGAGAAAAGGTTTAGGCTGAGCTTATTCTACGTTGACTGATGGTGCCAGTGTGTATATGTACTGTTTTCAAGCCTTCTTTCATAACAATATGTGGTTTGCACATGGTGTGTTTGTTGGGCCATGTACTATTAATCGATTTAACAGTAAATTATTTGACAGATTAATTGACGGCAGCCCTAATGTGTGTTTACTGCTGAATTTTTAACAACTTCTTTTCACATTAAAAATCAACTAAATAGTCATTTGTCAGAGGGTGGCAAAACTTCTGCTTACAATTGTACAACTTGAAAATTGGTACATTTTTAAGTAAAGGTTGGGTCAAATATACAAACACAAAATGTACAAAAATGTGGAAATGTCAACATATTAAATAATCACCTCAAAATTTCACATAACATCAGGTGATTAAAAACATTTGGCTCACTGCTAAAGCTGACTGTTAACCTCATGCCAACGGTTAACTTAGTCTCAAGCAAAAATAAAAAGATACTGACATACCATCAAACATTACAAAACAGTATGAGACACTTACCGCTGTTGCAGTATTAACAGCAAAGCACACATACATGACAAGGAAGAGTAGGCTTGGCTCACTGTTGAACCAAGTGCTGATAGCTTGCTCCTGTGTTAATTACTAACATTAGATTAACGCTACATCTTGGGTCAGATGAGATAAGATATAGTGACATACTGTTTAACATTATGAGATGGTATGAGCCATACGTTAGATGTGTAGAGTCATGGTGTTGTTGGAATATAATATTAACAGATACGTTTGACTGCTGCTAATACAGCAAGGCAAGCTCTTGGTTGTCTGGTAACTTTCCTAGATTACGTTTCGGATCATGTGAGAAAATGAAAAGATACTGATATACTGTCAAACATTATGGGATGGTAGTAGACATGCTGGAGCATCAACAAGTTAAAACTCTATGTTTGGCTCACTAATGCTAAAGAATTACTGAACCGCGTGCAAACAGCCTGCTGCTAATAATTGATTCTCCCTGATAGATTAAGTGGTGGACCAACTGAGAAAATAAAGACATAATGTCAAACTCTCAGACAAATTATAAATACATTTGCACATTCAACTTATATCTCTTTTATATAGTATTGCTATGTTATGGATGAATGAGACTCAAACTTTTACATCTCTTCAGTTTTCACTCCTGCATCTCATCAATACATCGAGTTCACCAGTCTATGTGAGGGAATCCACAGTGGGTGGTGGGGGGCCGTGGGCATATCTGCATATACTTGAATATTCATAGGTCCTGGAATGCACAATGAGGGGCAAATGTTGAGGCCCATTCCAGAAGTTCACTGAATTTTTTTTTTTTTTTAACTGTGTTAGACCATATAATGTTTATAGCTGATAGTTTTTTATAGACAAATATGAATATTAAAATGTCTCTGGAGTGGAACATTAATCTTTGTCTCTGGACAGAGATGGTCAGTGAATTGCGACAGGATGCGCAGTCTAATGAGCGGCCAAGTTCTCAGGATCCTTTACGATATCAGCTTGACCAACGACACCGCAAACACTCAAAAATAAAAGGCCTAGTTTTCTGCATCCAAGCATCGGATCCCTGGTTCTGTTGCACCAAGTGGTGGTAAAACGGTCATATTAATAGCAACATACTGACAGGTATTAACTTGTTACACTACCGAGCAGCTAGTGCTATTTAAAAAAAGACACATGCTGACGACTACCGCCGTTTGATTTGCCCCCACGTCATTTCACTACAGCATATCAAAGGCTACAAGCACTGACACCACGAACAATATTAGCAGATACTATTGGCGTTAAACAACAAATTAGCAAACAAGTTAAAAGTAAATGTCACTTACAGTTTCTAATATCCGAAATGAAAACAGCCAATCCACGCATCCCATCTCCTTTCGAGACAGCCGGCATTTTTGCAGGTTTCTGTCCTCACTCCGGCCTTGTCCGTAAAAATGAACTGACGCTGGTCAGCTTTTCACACTGGACTAGAGTGGAAGATGTCCAACTTCAGCAGTAGCTAGCTACTTTGCAGGTCCGACTGTCTACTACTACTTTAAGATTTACTATTACCTACCAAGCTCACTGTATGCTTGTGGGTGGCTAGCTCAGATAGCATTTGCTAGATTAGCTAGATGGCGGTGGATCAACCAACAACAGGATAAGTTAACGTTATCCCTACCCTGTTAACTAGCTAGTTTCCGCTGGCTATAGCGAGCCAACGTTATTTCATTCAATCCGTATATAACGTTAGCTAGGATATGAAGCGACGCGCATTACAGCTAACGGTTACAACAATAATTCACTAATAATAAAACCACCCACTGTGTGTACGTTTCTAAGATGAATGCAGTCAGACGTGTTAATGAAAATAACGTCGGAGAATATAATAGTAAGTTACTTCGAGTCACGCACCGTAAAGCTAGCTTAACAGCTAGCTAGCTGGCTGGCTGACTGACTGGTTGGTTGGTTGGCTAGCAATACACATAGGATATATGTATACATATATATAGGAATACATCACCGGTTGACCGGAATAACTCAGCAAAGAGTCTTAACTGCTAACCAGCAATATGAAATTCTAGCCTGGCTCTTATTATTAGCCACCAAATGTTGTAAATAAGATGTCCTGTATAATTAATGTCCTTCTACTTCTCCAACCCCCACTCCGCGGTTCGAATAAGGCTCGTGACAGCACAACCAGCAGCGTGAGCGCGCGATGTCGACGTGCACGTGTACGTTCGTTTCCTCCGGCCGAGTGCAGTCCGTCGCTGATTGGTCGATCCTACAGCTGTAAGGCCCTGGCTGAATCCACCTCCACCCTCTTCTACAAGTATAAATTACAGTAAATGCCTCAGAGGTAATTCATTCACGTGAAAATGGAAAGAAACTGTTCACCAGACCTCATACTTCATGAATTTCTTTAAAATATATTTTGACTCTCTGACAAAGTGTTCCAAGGCACAGATAAGCCAAAAATATCTATGGCCTGATGTTTTAGATGGCAGGCCGTTATTTTGAGGGTTAATGTCTGTTTTCTGTGCGCTTATGTTGCTCTTGTGTCTTTGGCATGTAACAGTTCGTTGTTATTTTTGTTCTTTCATTCTTTTCCAACTGTATCAAGAGATTTCTTCTGTTGCCTATTCTAAAAGCTACTCCCCAATCTGTGCTGTATATGTCAGTGACTAATGTTACATGGTTAGAACGTAGACTGAAATTTAACTGAGGATCCTCATACCGCAGATGACAAACCTCATCTTGTAATTTTGCTGATTGAAAGACATTTAAATCATTCAGCGTATTCATACTCTGTATGTGCTATATCCAACCTAACTTATATTACAACAATAAAGGCATACAATAAAAATGAAAAAAGCAAATACAAAAGCTACTTTTAGGCTATTTCACCTGTTTATTTTTTTCATCATCCATATTACTATTGATTATGGGTAATTTTTTGAGCACTGTTCAGCGAAGTCTGCACCCCAAGCAGATTTTAGATTATTTCCTGCAGATCCCTGGTTGCAACAGACAAACACAGCCTCCAGTCCAAAGCTAGCATCAGCTGATAAACAAGTAAATCTTTGTCTCCCTCTTTCTGTGTCTAGCAACCATTGTTTTTTTTATTTCTTGTTCAAAAAGCACTTCTTATAACCTTTACTAGGTGGCATGTGGGGCACATTTATGGAACTAAGGACCTTTTCAAAATACAAGCTAGAGAAGCTGGAATAACAGAAGGAGTGTAGGCAGAAGACTGTTAAAGAGGGGGATTAGTATTGTGGATAGACATCACATCCTGTCCCATATACACTTGATTTATCAGACTGTGTAAAATCTTAGTTAATGCACCATTAAGGCTCAATGTGGACTTGATGAATTATGGATTTGAACAGCCCTCACTGAGGATTCTGTGCCTCTTAACGCCATGAGTCTGCATATATGGTAACCTATGGGCATTTAGATTAAGTCAGAAAACAAAAAAACAAATCTCATTGTCTTCTCATTAAAGTTGCCCAAAACACTGCTGGACCTTTTGTTTTCCTGCTTGTTTTTTTTTCTTTGTCTTTGCACCTTGACAATGGGTGAGGTTGTGCTAGAACCTTCTGCTGCATTTAGATCTGGCTCCAAATTAATTTTCCTCATAACTGATTGGTCAGCCAGGACTTAGTTTTCAAAGACATGAAATTGAGTATAAGGGAAACAGGCTTATTACAACAAAGGGATACTAGTTCCATTACATTTGTTTTGGGGCTGTGGGCATGTATCAATAATATCATTTTCTATTTGACTTTATGAGATGTTCTCTGTACAGGTCTACATCCACATATCAGAAATCCCAGCCTTCAAGCCAGGTAACACATGACTGTTTTGATTATTTGGTGTTTTTGGATGACACCAGAGTTTTGTGTAATGTCTGTCAGTCATGTTTGACAAAATATTCATTTTAAAAATTGGAAAAAGAGCTTTTGCTTGACAAAAAGGTCAACGGTCACTAACAGTACATTTATATCCAGTGCTGGGGATATTTGAACAGAGAAGTGTTAGGTTGTTCAGTCCTCATTGTCCCAAAACCCACGTCACTGTTTAGTTGAGTTAAAGACATAAATAACTGGGTTTTCTAAACCACACCGTATTCTACTCAAGACCACTATGACATAGGGTAGGAAAAGCTAGGATTACAACCACCATCCAACAAAGAGATACAAACATTAAACACTGCAACAGTGCATCAAAAAAACAAAACAAAAAAAACAGGATTCATACAAATAGAAAAACCTTGTACAGGCAAGGGGAGCCTAGAGTCTCTTAAATGCATGAATTAAAGTTTACTTTTTCTATTTCATGTATTTTAAATTAAGTTATACCCAGTCAAAATACTGAAGGTCTTTGTTTCTCTTTTGCTCTTCACATTTTTAATTAAAGTGCCATATTGTTTATGTTCAACAATAAAATGATGAAAGCAGGGCTTTGAGCCAGTCCATCTCAATTTGTGGATGTAAAATTTGCCTAAAGTTATGAGTAATACTCATTACATCATCCACATAATACAACATTATTAAATATATCTATTTGTACATCACTTGTTATGTTTTGTTTAATAAAGGTATGCATATATTCCCAAAACAAATTAGAATAAACACAGTGAAAAACAGATGAAATATCTACTTTTATACAATTTACTGAACTCACAAGAATAATCGATCTTCCGACTGAATCTTTTCAGCACTTATTTTGCAGAGTAAATATGATGTAAATAAAACCACCAGCTCATCTAATGATGCCTAATGTGAAGTTTACATTTCTGATGTAGCTTTTTAACAAGATAATATAAGGTGAACTGAGTGGGTTATTTTGATGTGGTAGTAGGCGGGGGCCGTTCTGATCCACACTCCAGTCTGAAAGGTGGCGGTAATGCACCTAAAGCTGGTTGCCAACCGCCATTAAAACAAACAGAGGGAGAAGACAGAAGAAGAAGAAGACAGAAGAAGAAGACGACGCGAACAGAAGAAGAAGAAGACGAAGACGACAGAAGAAGAGCATGGCGCCATTACAATGGAGACGACGTCTGTACTCTGGTCCAATCAACTTGCCGTCGTGGGCGGAGTTAGGGAAGCTTCGGTCCAACACACGTAACTAGCTAGCATCCAACCAGGCAGGCAGAAAATCGAAATGGCGGCGCAAGCAGAAGTGATGGAGGTAATGCGAAGGTCTTACCTTAGGAAACCCAGTAAATTCCTTTCATTTACCTTTATCTCATTTAGAATGTTTTAATTATTCCGAGAAACATGTTACGAATTGTCATGCAGTCTTAATGTTTGGTCTTGTAGTTAACATGTACCAGTCAGTGATGCATCCATCTTAACTTAGCTAACATTAATGCTATTTAGGAGAAGCATCTGTCTTCACCGCGCATTCACCACAGTCAATTTAACTGCTAATCTATTTGTTGGGCAATTTAATGCGATGGCTAGTGTTGCAAGTTTAACGTTATACGAGTGATGTGAGCAGGAACGTTGCTTTAGTTTGTGCGACAGCGGCCGGCAGTGGGACCGCATGGGCACTAACGTGCTTAGCTTCCGAGCTAGTGTTACTTCAGGAGTGGATGCTGCCTCAGTCTTTGTCACGCTAGTTTTACTCAGTTTAGCTGTTAGTTCGTGTTGGGCATGTCGCACTCAAGCGAAGATCATTTCCCATTGTGTTTTAGTTAATTGTTCCGCATCACCTTCATTTTGCTGACTTGTTACATTGTCATTTCTTTGTTGTTGGCCAGTTAGCGTTACATATATTACTAGCTTGACCGTAAAAGCCAACCGGGTTTGTAGGTAGCCTTAACGCCAACCTTTACCTGTTAGCTCTGAGTATAACCAGAGATCTGGCATTTCAATATAATTCTGGTACTTTGAGGAGACGGTAGGTGCTACTGTGTAGATTTAGAAATGTTGTCGACGAAGGCCAAGATCACAGAGGACTACGAACCATGTGCTCCTTTACATTGCACACTGGTTAACAGTCATTGGCCCTGCCCAGTAGAAAATGTTATACTGATTGTGTGACTTACAAATTCTGCAGTTGATTATTGGTCGTTTTCAACGCATTCCAAAATCTTACAAATTGATTAATTGTATTTTCCACACAACCTTTGGTTTTATGCAATTAGCATCCAGATAAAATAGTTGCCACTGTGATAATATTCTAGTTGTAAAATCCTGTTACAGTTGTTTACTGTTTAATGGCTGATAAACTTTAAATAATAGTCTTTTTCATATTCTCACCAGTACCTTAAACAGTGCATCCCAGTCACTACCCTTTACTTCAGTAGATGGCTTCTTGAAGAAACCTTTCTGCTTCACCCTAACTTTTTTTTTTTAAAGCAAATGGCCCTTTGGACAGATTTAATTTTGACGGCAGACATTATCATGGCTCTTGACCATGGATGGCTCACTGAACAGGCCAACTAGGCAGAGGCCCCCTGGGCCATAGACCTGAGAACTGTGAAGGGACTATTAATCTTTTCATTTGAAATGTCAATCACATATCTACAGATGCAAAACAACCACGAAGATGTACCAAATCACTAAAAAGCGAGACAAAATGATTAAAATGTGACAGAAAAGACCATAAACGGCAAATTTACAATAAAAATCTACAAAAAAATAGACCCTATATAATTACCGGGAGATGCAAAAATTTTAAAAGAAAATGCATAAAAATAGGTGCGAAACAACTGCAAACGGGCCCAAAACAAATTAACTAGGTTGGACCAACAGTCATTAGACCATATCTAGGGGGCAATTTACACTTCCAGATTCAAAACGTTCTGGTCAGTGGTTGTGAATTAACTCTGTAAGTCTTGCCTTCCTTGGGCCCTCTCCCCCTTGCATCTCTCAACTAAGATGTGAGAAAAAGATGCATGCTGAAAAAGGTAGCCACAGTAGCTGGTCTTTATGGCCATTCTTTCTTTACATTCAGTCAGACTCGGAGACAGATTGTCCTGATAGTTGTTCTTTTGCAAGAGTCCATTGAGGTGTTCTTTGTACATCACTAAACAGATCCCAGATCATATGAAAACACCTGGATTTTCTAAATGCCAGCTAAGGTTATCTGGATTTTTTTTTAGTTCTTCAACCCCCACCTATGTGGTGGATTAGAAAAACTGGATTCAGTCATACAAGATCAGTGCGTGCTCTTGGCCTCAGTGACTAGACTAGCTGAAACCATGATCTTCTGATTGGCTGCACGCAAATGTCTAAGGAGCATAGTCCATCACGGCAGCAGAGGGAGAGCTTCTGCAGGAGTGCAATGAAAAATTTACACATTTTATTTGCACATAACTACACAAGAGAAACTGCAAAATGCAGATAGATGTATGGTAAAATGGCTGAAAAATTAAACACTGAAGCATCCCATTTAAATCCTTAATGTCACCATGACTGCATGTCCACCGCTTTGATATGGTGGCTCAGTGTGTAGTAAGACATGTCAAGTAAATATGTAAGTAGTAGCCTAATTGTGTGCACAGCTCTATGCTCATACAACTTACAGTAACGGTACATTTACAAAATAAAAGAAATTCTAGCGCGCACAAGAGATGTCTAGATAATCTACATATATAAATAATTGTTTAGCTGATGAACCTGTGTGCGCTGGTAATCCTATTAATATCTCTGCATTATAGATAGTCTGCAGAATATTCTTGTACTTTAATTAGCCTATCAGTGTAATGTAGCCTATTGCTCTTTCTTCTACATTTTCTTCTTCTACATTTCCGTTTTGTCTCAATAATCAAATGGTTTTTAAATCAAGTTTGATGTTCTCTGCAGTTAGTTTTTTCCGCAACATTAGAGCACTTCTTAGTCTTTCCTTTTATAATAATTATCTAACACATTTCAACAAATACTTGTCTACAATTTTAACATCCATCAATTGTATGTGTCCTTTTGGTCAAAATAGATCAGTTTTATTTATTTATTCCAAGCACTTTTTTTCAAGTCCAACATGAAATTACAACAGAAAAATTGTACATGAAATGTAGGGATGGGAGTCTTTTCTGAAGTGACTGCAGCCTTTATACTCTAACTTCTGCTAAACTGATAACTTGGCCACAGCTATTGAGAGAAATTGTAATAGTAAGCTTTAGGTCCTATTAATTCCCTTTGCTTTTGAAGCACATAGGAAGAAGGCAGACTATAGGGGTTTTTCCATTAAAGGAACCTTCCGAAACGTCACAGTAATGCTCATCATGGTTTCTGTGTTTGTTTCCACTATGGTGAGCCCACCCTGAAGGTGCATTCCAGGAGCTGAATTTCAGCACCCCCTCAGTACTAAAATCAAGTACCAGAAATGCAAGGCTGGAGGGGTGCATGCGTGCATAGCAGTTGTCTGTGATTGTTTAAATGTTTGTCTTCATACCTCAAGCATTAGTATTACAAGCACCATGTGCAGACACAGTAAATACACAGCTGACTGTGTGTGTGTGTGTGTGTGTGTGTGTGTGTGTGAGAGAGAGAGAGAGAGGAGCAGCCCCTCCTTCCTTTAAACAGACCAACAGAAAAATCCTAATGCTATGGATTATACCTGCACAATGTTCAGGAGGAATTTTGGACCATTCTTCCTCACGGAACAGCTCAGCCATGTTCTTAGAAGTTTGGTCTGAACGGATCTCTTGAGGTCATTCCACAGCATCTCTATTGATTTGAGGTCTTGGCTCTGACTGGGCCACTCCAAAAGGCAGATATGGTGTCTCAGGAGCCATTCTCTAGTAGATTTAGTTTGATGTTTTGGGCCATTGTCCTCCTGCATCACCCAGCTGGTTCTGAGCTTTAGCTTGCAGACAGCCACCCTGACAATTATCCTGTAGGATACCTTGACAAAATTGAGAATTCGTTTCCTCTCCACAGTGGCAATCAGTACAGGTCCAGAGGCAGCAAAGCAGCCCCGAACCATGTTGCTCCCTCCACCATACCTCACAATTAGAGGTGCACCGAAATTTCGGCCACCGAAAATTTTCGGCCGAAAAGGCCATTTTTATTTCGGGCCGGAATAAAAAAACACGCCGAAAATGCCCCGCCCCGCCCATCATATCCTGGCGCAGCACAGGTTAGGTTTCACTCACGCTGGAGCTGTTATATCACGTGTCTCCCCATCAACGACAAAGCATGTCAGCGGTGCGAGACTCTTCAGTGCAGCATCTCATGTGCTTAAT